ACATTGTTGTGTAGGGTATAAAAAATAAATAAATAACACACACTTTGATTTTAAATGTTTTGCTTTCGGCTATAATAATATAGTTTTCATTTTATTTGTTTTGTTTGTATTCATACATAATTGGTTTTTGTTGTTGTTGTTTAATAATAATATTTTTTAATAATTATGATGTTTACTTATTTTCAGTTATTTTCTTTTTTGTTCTGTATTCAAAAACATATTTTTTTATAATTTTGTTTTGAAATGAAAATAAGCAGAATTAGAAAATTAAAATCTATAGAGAAAAATGTTGTTGTAAATTCATAATTAATTTCAAGAGAATTATTAATAATTAAATGTTATATAAAAAAGAACTTAGTTACCTTAAATATACAAAATATATGCTTAAATATTATATAAATAATAGTAAATGTAATTATAGTATTTAATATATTATTATTTAAAAAAAAACGAACTGAAATTAATAATAAATCACTTTTGTTTCTCTTCTGTAATAAAAAACAAACCTTTAAACAGAATATAATAAATAATAACAAATTACTATTATTATTTTCATTTCTGTTGTTGTTGTTTTCAAATCGCAACTATAATTAATAAGTCGTTTCGCAGAAACCTTATACAAGACAAAAAAACAAGCTTTGTAAAATAAAATTAGGTAATTAAAAACAAAACACAATACTTATTAAATAAGAAAATCTAATGTGAGAGAAAAACAGGCAGAGTTAAAGAGAGCTTTAAGCTAAAACAAAATTGAATTAAAAATGTTAAAAAGAAAAAACTGAAGAAAAAATTAACCAATTTTTTTAAAAAAAAAGGAAACAAAAATGAATGAAATGTTATTGTTAAATTATTTATGTTTGAAAATAACAACAGAAAAATGTTATATAAAAAAAAGAAATCTTATGAATAGAAAGTAAATACATATTTGAAAGAAAAATTATAGCTAAACGAGATTTCTTATTGGAGAAAATAGTTAAACAAATCGCCAAGATTTGTTTTTTTTTTTTTTTTTGAAAAAAAGCTTTATGTAAAAACTAGAATCGAGCGGGATTGTATTTAGGTTATCTTTTTGTTAGAATATAAGCAAAGGGATTATGGGATTTTTCACATACAATAGCATGCGAAAATGTGTGGTGGTGTGTACTAATTATCTTCATTAGTTTTAATTTTTGTTTCTGAAGAGAGAGTTTTAAACCCGAAGGCAGTTTTATATTTAGTTTTTGTTATTTTTTTTATAATTATCATGCAAAACAATTTTACCAAAAAGCATTCGAACAATTTTTTTTCGTTGGGGAAAATAAAAGCAGTTCTTTTTCTGTTTGGAAGAAATTTGGAATCAAATAACTCGTTGATAAAAACATCTTCTAAAAGTAAGGCTTAGAATTGCAAATATTTTAAAGCCTTACTCATACATAAATTCAAATTTATTTCAAATTATTTGAAATTCTGCATAAAATTTTTGAAATTTATTATTTCGTATTCAGTTTTTTCAAACAATTTTAATTTCGATTGCCGTTTAAATGGACCAACTATCCATTTTCTTTTTAATTACATTTTGGAGGACAATTTCAAAATTTACTATTCCAGAAATCTTTAAACAACAATTATTGCAAAGTTGTTGCCATTGTAGATCAATATGCAAGCTTCTTATTCCACATTTTTGTTTCCAAATTTCTACCAAAAAACAAAGCCAAACAAAATGTGCAAAAAAAAAAAACTAAAAGAAATAAGATTTAAGTTTGTTAATATTTTTGTAAAATAATTCACATTTAATTTTCTTTAATAAAAAAACTTACAATATATTTTTAAATTGTTTTCCTGCTCATATTTTTTTTCTTTAAGGTTACCATTCTAAATAATATCACCAAAAAAAAAAGGTAGTTACATTATTTCATTATACATAATTATTAATTTTTAACGGTATATAACTTATATGCCTAAAATTAAATTTGAGGAGAGGAGTAAGGGAGGGGAAGAGGGAAACAATTTGAAAATAGACAAATTTTCCTGTGTTATTTTTTGTTTAATTATTTTTTTTTAATTAAACATAAATAATTTAAATTCATTACATTATTACATGCAATTATGCTCATACATGTTTGAGTATGACTTGACTTCATTACATTTTTGTTTTCTTATAAATGAACGAGAGGGCGGGTTTGATTTTTTGAATTCAGTTTTGTTTGTTTTTTTTTATAAATTTGTATTTCGTTCTTTTGTTGCTATTATTGATGTTGTTTGTTTATTTATATGTAAGTATTGTGCTTTAGTTACTAGTTTTTTATGGATTTTGTTTGTATTTCACATACTATATATTTTGAATTAAATTGCAGGGATAGATTTGGGATATTGGGGTAGGTTTTTTTGTAAAACAAAAATCCTTTTGATGCGCTGTTGGTTTTTTATTTTCTACAGTGTTGTTCAACTAAAGCATAGTAAACATTTTAATTATGGTTGTTGTCGCTTTGTTCTTGTTTATTTCGTTAAATTGTATTTTTAAACAAGCCTTTTATTTTCTGTTTTTTTTTTTTTTTTTAAGTTATTGACTAGAGTTATTTCTGCTGTTGTTTCTATCATTTGTTGCGCCGCTTTAAAGTTAAGCCAATGGAGTTGTTTTTTCTTCTTCTTTGATTTATCAAAATACATATAAATAGCCAAAACGGGGAATAATAACTGTTGTAACGACCGGGATTTTATTTAAATAATCTGTAAAAAATAAATTTTAAAATATTTTTCAATTTCAATTCAATTTTTTTATTTTGTATACTAGAACCTAGCCCAAAAGGTCAAGAGCGTTTAAATTAATAAAAAATTAATTTAATTTCAATTAATTTAAATTAGTTCAAATTAATTAAAAAGGGCCAAGGGCGTTTAAATTAAGTAAAAACAATGTTAAGATCGGCCTGGCCAAACTTCTTATACCCTACACCCCACCATGAGGATGACATGCAAAATATCTAAAATTAATGAGGGGATCCCGGAGAAAACACATCTTATGATAGGACCTTGAACATACCGAAAAGACGAGAGAAAACAATGATTTAAATTCCCAAAATACCTTATAGTGGGGTTACCTTTATATGAGGCTATACCAAAACGACAGCCAATGATAAGATAATACAAAATCACACCAAATTCGGTTGAAAAACTTGTCGAAAATTCCCAAAATACCGGAGCTATACTGAAACTTGGGTCAATATGAGATTTGACACCCAATAAGAATACAAAATTCGGTTTTCATAATCCCCAAAATTCCGAATATTGAGGTTATCGTTATATGGGGGCAACCCTAAAACTTGGGTTAATATTAATAATTTTTAGTACGGAGATGTGCTATACAATGAGAATCCAAAATACCAAAGCCAATTTGATCGAAAAACCTGTCCAAAATACCGAATACTGGAGGGTACCGATATATGGGGGCTACGCTGAAACTTGGTTCAATATTAATAATTTTTGTTAGTGAGATTTGACACCCAATGAGAATACAAAATACTAAATTACAGCCAATTCGGTTGAAAATCGTGTCCAAAATACCGAACATTGGGGGGTGCAATAATATAAGGACTACCCTGAAACTTTGGTCAATATTAATAATTTTTGATAGTGAAATTTGACACCCAATGAGAATTCCAAATTTCAGCCAATTTTGTTGAAAAATGTGTCTAAAATACCGAATATTGGGGTTACCATTATATGGGGGCTACCCTAAAACTTCGGTCAATATTAAAAAAAATTTAGTACGGAGATGCTATACGATAAGAACCCAAAATACTAAATTACAGCCAATTAGGTTCAAAAACATTTCCAAAATACGGGATATTGGGGGTACCGTTATATGGGGTCTACACCAAAGCGTGGACCGATATATCACATTTGCAATACTAAACATCCAAGGATTACTAGCAATGCCTGAGCAAAATTTCAGAGCTTTATCTTAAATTGGAGATCGTTATTTAAGATAAAGCTCTGAAAGCTCTGAATACTTCGTGATTTTATCTGGCGGACAACCATACATAGACATATAATTTAATTCTGATCAAGTCGAGGCGTTGTAAGTGGAGTGCAAAATTTAATATACTCTCCATCTTATGGTGGAGGGTATAAAGAAATTTAATAATGTGGTTCGTCTGAGCTAAAATTTGTAAACCCTAAAATACCTAAAATCAATCGGGAATTTAATATGGACACTGAGGCATGGTACATCGCAAAAGAATTTGGTTTGTTTTTGATTCGTAATCATAAACTGCAAATCTCGGGCTGAATGGAAAACTCTATTCGCATCACAATAGATTTACATCAAGACAGATAGAATGACGGACATTTATAAATCGAATATGAATTGAGTTAAACGTAAGACACTTGGTGGAGTCAAAAGCGATGTTAAGATGATTCGTATTTTTGTCGTTGCAAATAATGGATAATGCGACTTCAATTATCAATATACTTAAAATTAGGCTGTAAATTAAAACAGGTACCTATATTGAAAACTATGAAATCGGCTACCCTCTAAAGAACACCGAATGGCAAATTATAGCTACTTCGATTGGCAAAAAGTTTTCCTTGTTCTATACAGTCCAGGAATAGTAGGAAAACTTGTGCAAAAATGCAGAGCCCTATCGTAAATACACCGATCTCTAGCATTATTCCAACAGACAAACACGACTAAACCGAGATAGAATTTTTCTCTGTAACACAATAATGTATGTAATCATATTGTGATAGCAACTCTGGAAAATTCATTGATCATTTGACACGTCCAGTCTTCGCAGCCACAATTGCGATATTAATATATACACTCTAAATACAATATACAAACCTCATTTAATATTAGAGTTCCAATTGGCAATTGTGATGAAAACCAACGTTGTGATGGGTAAACGTGTTTATCCTCCACATGATTTATAATTATTTGCAACGACCACCAATAAAATTTCACATTTCTTTTTCGCTCTCGGCTTTTTATAGCTGTTGACAATTGCAACCATTCTTCTTCACATTTATTCGATAATTTGCAATTCATTTATATCGGCCACATCTGCTGAGTCTTTACAGAATGTACTCGAACGTTCCAATTTAGATTCGACCACAATCGATGGCTGATGGTCATCATCGTTGTTTGCCGTCGATGCTGCTGATGTCTTGATGAGCAATTCAATTTTTTGTTTTACCGCCTGGGCTGTGTGATAAATTTCACCGCCACCACTACCAGTTGAGGCTTTGTGATTTCGGAAATTATTGTTGCTGTTATTTTGATTTGTTTTTGCATTGTGGGATTTTTTCAATTGCAATGAATTCGGTCTTCGTGTGGGTATATTTGATGGAGGGCCATTGTTGCGTAGGGTTGTCATTACCGAGGAATGTGAGGCCGAACGCATAACCGGAGCTCCAGCCGCCACGGAGAGATTATTTTTATTATTCGCCACTTTGGAGTCGCTGCTTTGTAATCGATGATCTTTCTGCGATTGTTTGAGCAATTCCTCTTGCTGCTGTTTGTTCTTTTCTTTTTCGGCTCGCCTTGCCAGTATTTCTCGTGATTTGGCTGAGAGGAAGCTGTGTTTGGTTTGAGGCTGATGATTTTGTGTACTATCAGCAGCACCGCCACTTTGGCCTGGCACTGAAATTGAACGTTTGTAGAAATCACGCGATGACTGTGTCGATGAGACTGAGGAAAGACGGCTGGTTGCTGATTTTGTTGTGGTAACGGATGAGGGACTCGAACCGGTGGAGGTGATTTTCTGTTGCAGATATTTGGGAGCACGTGGTCCCAAGCTGGTTGGCCTGACAGGTTTTACCGTGCCATTTGCCCGGGTCTTTTGGCTATTGCAAGAATCACTTTTCAATTTTGTGGGCCTGCCTAGTCTATTCGAAAGTAGGGACTCTCTGGAGGCGGATTTATTGGTGATCACAGAACTCTTCATGCTTTCGTTCAGGGAGTCAACACACAGATCGGATAGTCGCTCGTTATCGGAAGACTTATTAGTTTTGTTGGCAGCAGCGGCGGCTCTGTTTGCCGCCCGTGCTGATGTTAAACTATCCAAGGACATGTTGTTGTTTGATTTGATATTGGCCGCATTCACTTTGCCGTTGAGATGTTTACGTGCCGCTGGACTGGAATGGCGTGAACTTTCGCTGGATGAATGTTGGTAGTTTTGTTTTTTGGCCAAATTGCCGGGTATGCTGGAGCTGGTGGAACTACGTACAGGACCATTGCCCAAGGCTTGGCTGGTGGTGGCATGTACTTTTTTGGGTTCCAAATAACGTGGCCGAACATCTGATAATTTCAGAGATTGGCTACGTGTCTTGGTTGTATGGCTTTCGTTTGCTTTGGTTTCCATTACCGATTTCTTTGGTTCATTGGATTTATGGGCTGCTAGGGTTGTTGCCGTCGATGCAGTTGGTGCCTCAGATTTGGTACGACGATGATGTAAGGCTGTGTTGACACTGTTACGTTCGGAGGTCATACTACTTTGAGAGATGCCCTTTAATGCTTGAGGAACATGAGCACGTGAATTGGATTTCAAAACACGGCCTGAAAAGTAAAAAAAACAAATTTTAATAATTATATTCTAAAGGGAATAAAAAGGTGCATCCACTTACTTGTTCCCTCTCTCAAATCATGATTCGCTTGAACACCCCGTTCCGTTGTTTGCACAGCATCGTGTGTTGTCTGTGTCGCCTTGTACAATTGTGTATCCTGGGCCAAGGCCCGTTTAGAATGGGCCTGTATGGCAGCCTTAACCTGTTGCAAATCTTGACTTCGTGTACTGCCACCAAAGGAGAAGGCCTTCGAAACCGGTTTACCACGTTTGAGATCCAATGGCTCCGTTAGACGTGCCAATGTTTGGATTTTCTTGCGTAAATCCAAATCCATACGTTGCCAAGCGGTAACACGCATAGCTCGTGAACACTGCCTTATCAGACATTGTTCCACGGCGGATAGTATGGAACTTACCAAACGTATGTATTCCGTATCCCAGTCGAGATCTTCTTCCTGAAGACCCTGTAGTTCTTTGGCCAATTCTCCCAAGCCGGGAGGCATTTGTATAACTTTGGCTTGTAGCACAGTATTGAGACGTGTTATCCTCTGATAACTACGACAAGCTTGATCGGGTGTTAAATTGGAGGCGGTACGCAATAGTACACCTTCAAGACGTGGTATATGGCAACTGCGATCGTGTCCCAATGACAGGAATGAATCGCTGGCTATTAAACTAGCGAAATGATCGGCAATATAACCATAGGCGGCATCTAGAATATTGCGAACTAAATTTTCACAGACACCACCCCAGCGATAGGTTGCCAATTGGTCCAACAGGTTATCACAATCCAAGACGGTATCCAAAACTGATTCAGAGGTCTGAAAGAGAAGATAATTTAAATTATCATAAATTCACTTCGATAGGAATATATAGCTAGGACACTCATCAAAATATTTAAAATGAAGGGGGATCTCCATTTGGGTTCTATGGCAAAAATAGATCTATTTTAAAAGTTTTCTATGAGACATCTTTTTCCCGAAGTGCTAACATACAGGCACTTCAATTGGAAAACGTGGTTGGGACCTTGAAATAGTTTAAATGAAGGTTCATTTGGGGACTATGACATAATATGGAACTATACTGCAAAATCCTGGAAGAAGGTCTATCCCCCTGTGATTAACCCAAATACGAATCATAAAAATTACTTAAAATGGGGCAGGTCCTTTTCCTATTTTTTTCTTTTCCTGACCCTGGTTGACGATTTTCTAAGAGGGTATATTACCGAAATGACAAATTACTATCTTGTAAAAGGAGGAGCAGCCCCAAAATATATTTTGTATATTTTTAGTTTGGGATATTTATATATGTGTTATGCCAAAACATGGGACAATATTTGTTATTTTCTATTGGGAGATGATCTTCCTTTTAAATACCTATGTGTACTTCGACTACTTATAATTTATGGACCTGTCTCATTAGAATTGGTTTATAGGTCCTGTCAAATTAGGAACTGCACAATACTCACCAAATATGCCACAATTTGTTGACGACACCGCGCCAAAATATCCGACGGTAATTGGGCAAATTGCCGAGTGGGCCAGACCTTCAAGTAATGACGACATGTCCACCTCAGACATTTACGATAGAGATCATCGAGAGCATGATTTAAGGCAACCGGCAGAACCTGTAGTATACCATCAATACAACCCGAACAGGGTTTATGGAAATTATGACAATAATTTGTTTTCAAAGCATGAGCTGTGACTTCCTTCAGACCCTCCAATCCTAACAGGTCTGCCAAGGCTGCCAATTCCATAAGACTTATACCATCGGGTGGATGCGACGCTCCCGAATAGATGTGACACAATGCAAAGTGTACAGCTGAATAGGAATAACCTTGCAGGGATACAACACTGGTCGACTGATTGCCCGCCAACATGGCAGCAAAATATTGACATCGTGAACGCAGGATACACTTGTGGGCTTTGATTCGCCTACCATGTACCTCCACAATCATATCGGTGGCAATTTCTTGTAAGAACATTTTGAGCAAATCCTCACCCAATCTCCGTGGCTGGCGACAAGACATTGAAGATTCATCCATACCAGAACGACTTATGCTGGAGGCCAAACTGGAATCATTGCTCAAATCGGTTTGTATGTAGTCCATGTTGTCCAAACTCATATCATTGGGCAGGGAATTGGATATTTCCTTGGAGAAGTTGGGGAAAAGTCTTGAAAGACTTCGTAGATTCTCCACGGAACTGGTGAAATTTTGAAAGGTATTTCCTGTGGATCGTGACATGGTCCAGGAATGTGGCCTACCCGCACGATGATTATCATCACGATGTAGACGACTTATTTGCCGATGATTGTGGGTGCCACCACCCACACTGGATGTCATGCGCTCCGGGGATTTTAAATTCAAATTCAATGGCTTGTCCATGTCGGATAGTTTAACAAATGTACTACCGCCACCAGTTCCTCCCCCTGTAGAGGTCTCGGCATGCTCGTTGACGGTTTCCAAGAGCATTTTTTGTTTTTCAATTGTTGCCTGCAGCGAATCCAAGCCAATATTTTGTGCCACTTTTTTGGGTGAGGAGGTCTCCTTGGCCTCAACAATTGTTTCCATAACTATATTGGAAATACGATTAGAGGATAGGGATGATGTGGAGCCAATTGACAAAGCGGAGGTATTACTTTGCTGCAAGTGGGCCATTGCTTCTTCTGCTTCACGGGCAGCTTGTTCTTCATCCTGTTGAAAGGTTAAATCATCTGTATCTGTCGTCGAGAGTGGTGAGAGATCTTTGGATAGAATACCATCGGTAATGGAGGCCAAACTGGATTTATCAAATGTCTCATTGATTTGCACATCACGTCGCCGTTTCTTAATGCGTATATTCTGATCACCACCACTGGCGTCCTCTTCACGTTCTCCACCTGAACTGGTACTTAGCTCAGATTTCGATCCAGTGTAGTCATCATAAGGTGATATCGAACTATCAATGGATAATGAAGATGTTTTCGATATAATCGGAATTTTATCGATGATGCTCATTAGGCCACCCTTGCCGCTAGAGGAAGAATTGCCATCTTTACCCTCTCCATTGTTGGTAAGACTAATGGAACGTTTATAGTCGATTCCAGAGGGGCCTGTCACACCAGCATTACTACCCCACGAGTGCCGTTTATTGGCCTCATGTTGAGCCTTTTGCTGCATGGATAGTCGGCGTATGGCCGCCACGGTTATCGGTGGCTCAAAGTTGCATTTATAATCCAATGATTTGGTTTCTCCTCCGCCTCCTTCGATGGCATTGCCTCCATCATTGGAAATTTTATTTTGATTTGATTTCGACATTAGGGTCTCTGTAGAACTGGCTATCGATTTTAGTGTAGCTGTTGCCATTGTTGTTGTCGTCGCCGTTTCATCCGCTTTCTTTTGTTGTGCCGTTGTCGTAGTTAGCGATGTGCTTAGACGTTGGGCCAGACTGAATGGCTCTTTGCGCAAGGGTTTCAGCGGTTTCTTATCGCCATTACTAATGTCTATAAACATACTGAATATATTTTTCTGTGAGCTGCTGGCAGAACTGTCGGCTTGTTGTTGTTCGAGCAGATTATTTTGTGGTTTGGTTTCTGCCGTCCCTGCACCATTGCCATTGCCCCGAGGTTTATATTCACTTGTTGAAAGATTGACAAAGAATCGCGTTGAGGAAAGTGCTGACGATCCGGCATTGAATGACTTGCTCATGGGTGACTCAATTGCGGTTGATCTTTTCTCTTTGGGCTTCTTTTCCATATCATCGAGGGAGACATAAAAACCGCAACCACTTTTGTGTGAGCTAGTCGAGTCGGAACGTTCTCTAAATTTGGAATTGGAGGCTTCCAAACTAGATGAAGAGCTGGTACTTTTTCGTCGTTCTCCACCACCAGTCGTTGTTTGGCAATCGGACATATCCACCACCCATGAAGCCATGGGTTTACGTGATGATTTCGTTTTGTTTCTCAAGCCCACCTCCATTACTTCGTCATCATCGTCGCCCAACGGTTGGGTGGGTTCAAAATCCAATGATGTAAATCCTCCCGAAACAATGGGACAATTTTCGGTTTTCCTCTTCAGCGAAGGACTTTCACAGAGTTTTTCAGGGTAATCGGAAATCAGGGAGCCACCCGATATAATGGGATTGGCTTCATCGAATTTTGAGCGTTTTGGTGTACGTGGCATGGGTATGGGTGAGTCGGTGGCATCACTACAATATGCCCCGGAGTCACGATGATGAGAAAACGACGATGAGGACAGGGTATAGTCACGATGTATCGAAGAGGTGTTCGATGAACAATTCGGCTCAATGTGAACAATGGAATTGTGTGGTGTATCCGGTAGCAGGCATTTATTTTTAATAGCAGCAAGGTGATCATAATCCTCTATGCTGAGCTTGGCTTGATTGTGTTGGTGGTGGTGACCCGCCGTGGAGGAGCGATGTTCATGCTCGGACCATTGTAGACTTGGTGCTGGACTAGATGAAGAATAATCTGTGGTATAACTAATATCACTGTGATTGGTAGAGTGTTGATGACCACCGCCTCCATGATGTTGTAGTTGTTGCTGCTGCTGATGGGTAGATGGATGGTGTTGGTGCTGGTTAAGTAACTTATTTGCCAATGGTGGAAAACCCCCCGCCGATCGTTCCGAATAATATTTCCTTTCATTTTCCCGCTTGATGCGAAACAAATCCGATGAATCCGAGGAATCTCCATCTTGAGGCAGTGTTGTTGCTGTTGTTGTTGTCGTCGATGATACATTGGCATCGGAAATTTTCAAATCTTCTTCCTCGTCATCATTATGATGATCTCCGCCTGGTGTGGCCTTGTGATCCCTTTTCCATAGCTTTTCCTCATCCGATAAATTACTAATGGTTGTTGTATCATTTTGTTTATCATTATTCTCCTCAGAACTGCAAGAGGAATTCGAAGATCTCGGCCTACTGGTAATGGTGAGATTTGCGGAAACGGCCGATGGACTTAGGCTGGCATCATCTTTGGATTTTACTTTGCACCGGGCAAATGATTTATGGAATGTTTCTAATTTTTTGGTGGGTGATTCATCTTCCACAGCAAGGGGGGCGGCGACATCTTCTTCCTCCACTTCTTCTTCGGGTTCATTAACATGCAGTTCATTATTTGAGGCGGTGATATTGATGACTTGTTTGTTTTTATTTGGATAGGGAGGTACCTCATCCTCATCGCACAGCGATGAAGCATCTATGAAACATGCGCTGGTCTGTGACGAACTCATGGGGTTATCTGCGGTTTTGCTAAGCAAATCTCTTTGCAGCGATGAGGAGCTGATGCCTTTGAAGAGAGAAGAGGTGTCGGCCGTTAGAGGATTATGGCCGGCCGAGTAGGTCCTCTCTCGGACCACGGGTTCTAAATCTAAATCTTTATTTTTTAAGATACTGGACGAGGAGGAACAGGATGAGGCGGGGACCGTGGTAATGTCTTCCTTGCCTTTGGTAAAAAGTTTTAATTTAGGATTGGGTAAATTCTTTTCCAAAAATCCCACACAATAGTTGGTTAAATCCACATCGGCTTGTGGCACAATGTCTGTGGAGGAGGAAATATTTTTTCCTGCCGCTGCTGCTGTTGGAAATACCGATTCCCAGGAACCAGTCTCTGAGGATATCGATGAGGTTTCCAATATGACAATTTCCTCATTTTGTCGTTGTTTTTCTTCCTTGGAGGAGGCAGGTGGTAACATGGGCGAAGATGATGCTGCTGACGTTACTCCCACCGTCTGCAGGGTATTGTTGAGTTTCAGTTTTAATGGTGTCACCACCAAATCACCAAATGCTTGTTTATAATCTTTGGCTGTTGACGAGGACGACGAATGATGCGAGGCTGTGCCTCCACCATTCGAAATATTTGTTGAGGTACTGGAGGCAGCCATTTGATTTGATGCAATTTCCTCCATTTCGGGACTGTTGTTGTTACTGCTCACCGGTGAAAATGTGTCGCGTTCCTCATCACCCAAATCCACTTCACATATTTTGGTCGAGGAACCACTACCCTGGCGTGGCAAGAGATCTAAGTTGTGTAATGGTCGTCGTATATCATCACTGTATTGCGGAGCTGATGAGGTGCTCGAGGAGCTTGTGCTGGCCGTACATGTATCCGGCGTTACAGGTGTTGTTGTTCTACTGGTGGAACTATCCATTGTTTTGTGTAAATAACTATAAGAAGTAGAAGAAGATGTCGAAGACGGAGACGGCGGAGCAAAAACTCTGTCTAGGCATGTGAATGCATTTAGTAGTTGGGTTCGTTTCTTGTTTTGTTAGGTATTGTCACTACCGGACGGACAAAGTGTGGTCACGTTTAAAAACGTTGTTCCTTTTTTGTGGATAGGTAATGTGGTTGTTGTTGTTGTATTTTTTATTTCAGAAACGACTGCTGACTGCTTACTTAGAATAATTAATGAGTAGCAAAATGTTGAGGATGATGTTGATAATAATGGAGGAGATTTGTTGTTTTATTTGAAGAGATCGATCGTTTATTTCGTATTGTTTTTTGTTTTTCGTTCGTTCGTATGGGCCAGACTTCTATTGTTTGTTGGTTTTTTCTTTTACTTCTATTTTGCAAATATAGAAAAGTTTTCAACAATAAAAAACGATGATGGCGATGTTTTTAAAAGGCAGACAAAAGGTTTTGCCCAAAAACCCACAGCTCTCTATTGTTCTAGGCCTTGCCTTGGCGGCTCCACACACAATGGAAACTCCTTAGGCCGCCAGCAAATTCTATGCTAATGGAAACGAGTATCTGGGCTGAATGGGCTGGCTGGTTGGCTGCCTGCAATCCTTTATTTGGATTTAAAAATAAAAATAGGCAGCGAAATCGAAATATCGGCACACAAACACACGCACACACCCAAACGAAAACTTCAAAGGTTTTTCATCTTTGGGCAAATGACTGACTGTGTTGTTGGATTTCCCTTTTTGGTGTCTCTCAGGCCAACCAAAACTGAAACAAAAAAATGTGAAAAAGGGAAAATTGGTTTGGTCTTCCTCTTTACACTCACACTTTACACTCTAGAAGGGCATGAGAGTGGTCTCGGTTCGCTAGTGTTCCAACACTGACTGCTTTCTGAGAAGAGTGAGAGAACAATGATGTTGTGGTCGTGGTTGTCGTTCGTTCCCAAAAAAAGTATCTTTAGGATATTTTGTGCATCTTTTTTTGTATTTGAAGTTGGCACCCAAAATTGTAAATGGTGGCTGCCTTTTGTTGTTGTTATTTATTTGGCTGGCTGGCTGGCTTCAATGAGTATTTTCTGTTTTACAAATGAGTGTAAATGTGTTTACAATTGCAGTTGTTGTTGTTGTTCTTATTTTAGGTATATTTTCAGATGTAATACATGTTCGGTATTTAATCTTTTTAAATACTTGTGTGCTTAGTTTATTGGTAGCTGACAGACTAATGATGATGATCCCCGACTGTGCCAGGGAAACAATTCTTCCTTGTACTACGCCTTAGATGGATAGACAACAAACAACTGTGTGGATGGTGTTCGATGTTGTTGTTGCAGTATGAGGTTGTACATGCATTTATCTTCTCCTCCTGTTGCATCCACTCATTTGAGAAAATATTGAAGTTAATCTTGTTTGTTGTTGCTTGTTGATGTAATGGCGAACTGATGTTACTATTGTTGTTGTCCTTTATTCGTTGTTGTATTTACAATTCATATCTGTAAAAGAAGAGAAGAAAATCACTTTAAAAGAAGAGAAGAAAATCACCTTTAATTAGTAAGTTGTTAACAGAAAAAATAGGAGATTTTATTAAAAAAAGAAAAATAGAATTGGAAATTCTAGGGAAGTGAGAAAATTAAATACTTAAGAAAATTCCGAAATATTTTTGGAGAAAAAATAGATAAGAGTGGATTTCTTAAAAAATACTTTCAAAGGTGTATCCACAATTCTGTATCGATTTTGTCATGTCTGTCTGTTAAAAACAAGCCCCCAGAGCATAGCCCCTATATAATTGTCCAGCCCATTATTGGTATTTTAATGGCGCTACGTGCATTTTAGGTTTACGAAGTAGCGGCAGCTTGAAGGGTAAACCATTTATTCGCAGAATACTTTCAATAGAAGTCCGGGTCAACATAATCCCCATACAAATTTGATGACTCATTTTCAAGGCTCTAACACCCCATTTTCCATCCAGAAAGTCTTTACTTTGGTATTTCTATGGAATAGAACGGCCAACATAAGCTTGGGTTTTTTATACCATTCACCACACTGTGGTACAGGGTATTATGTCTTTGTGCATATGATTGTAACAGGCAAAAGAAAACAAGATAGACACATGGTTCCTTTTGAGAATATGCATAGAATCACTTTCTGAATCGATTTATGGATGTCCGTCTGCCCGTCCGTTCGTCCGTCTGTCCATGTTAAATTGTACACAAAGTACAGATCGCATTTGTGATCCGAATTGTATGAAATTTAGCACAGGCCACTTATTTCGTCCAAGGACGAACCCAGATTTAGATATAGCTCGCATATATATTTTCATCCGATTTAATGTAAATGGTGTACCAATGTCCCTATATATCTTTCGATTTGAACGAAATTTGACACAGCGTAATGAATTATGTCAAGAATGATGTGTGTTCAGTTTCCTGAAAATCGGTCCAGATTTAGATATAGCTCTCATATATATTTTCGTCCGATTTAATGTAAATGATGTACCAATGTCCCTATATATCTTTCGATTTGCACGAAATTTGGCATAGAGTAATGAATTAGGTCTAGACTGATGTGTGTCAAGTTTCCTGAAAATCGGTCCAGATATAGATATAGCTCACATATATATTTTCATCCGATTTAATGTAAATGGTGTACCAATGTCCCTATATATCTTTCGATTTGCACGAAATTTGGCACGGCGCATCGAATTAGGTCTAGACTGATGTGTGTTATGTGTCCTGAAAATCGATCCAAATTTAGATATAGCTCCCATATATATTTTCGTCCGATTTAATGTAAATAGTGTACCAAATTCCCTATATATCTTTCGATTTGTACAAAATTTGGCATAGCGTAATGAATTAGGTCTAGAATGATGTGTGTTCAGTTTCCTGAAAATCGGTCCAGATTTAGATATAGCTGTCATATATATTTTCGTCCGATTTAATGTAAATGGTGTACTAATGTCCCTATATAGCTTTCGATTTGCACGAAATTTGGCATAGAGTAATGATTTAGGTCTAGAATGATGTGTGTTGAGTTTCCTGAAGATCGATCCAGATTTAGATATAGCTCCCATATATATTTTCATCCGATTTAATGTAAATGGTGGACCAAAGTCCGTATATATCTTTCGATTTGTACAAAATTTGGCATAGCGTAATGAATTAGGTCTAGAATGATGTGTGTTAAATTTCCTGAATATAGGTACAGATTTGGATGTAGCTCCCTTATATATTTTCGTCCGATTTAATGTAAATAGTGCACCAAATTTGCACGAAATTTGGTATAGTGTACTGAATAAGGTCTAGAATGACGTGTGTAAAGTTTCCTGAAAATTGGTTCAGATTTAGATATAGCTCCCATATATATTTTCCTCCGATTTGTACATTTTATTTAATATATTTTATTAAATATTAAATAAAAACGTGGCCATCAACAGATGTTTTCTTGTAAAAATGAGAGCTTAATTTTGTTCGATGCTTTAATTTCAAATCATTTAATTAAATGAAATCTCTTGTTATTGTTGTTTTTGTAGTTATTGACAATGATGGTGATTGTCTCTCAATATTCCCACACGTTAACCAACATTCTGGCGATTCATTTCATCTTCCATCAGCAGCAAGTCAATCGATTGCTGTATATTTGTTCCTATACGGAAGTCATAATAGTCGTTTGGAACATGCCTGTCGAACAGAGTTCGTCAGCAGTTCGATGATGATCATTTGCATGTGGCGGTGTCGGCGGAAGGTGTCGCGGTGTTTGTCTTTCCGTTCGTCATGTAACCATCTATGTAAGGCTGACTGACGGACTGACTGTCAATATAGCGTCGACGTTGTTGTTGTTTTTTCTATTGTTTACAATGCCGAAGTGGGAGACATTCTTACATCCATATACAAGTTTTGCAACAACAACAACAAACATTTACAATAAAATGCAAATTGAAATCAATCGATTTGGTGTTTGTGTTCAGCTGAGTGTTTTCTGTTTGAATTATTTATTTCTAACTTTTTTCTAAAGGTCAGTTACTAAATCACAAAACAAAAACTTCAAACAAACAAATATGGCCTGAACTATGCATAAATGTGTATTGTTGTGTTGTGTTAACATGGCTTTTATGTTTTTTGTTCCGATTCAAATGGAAATTATTATTATGGTAAACAAATATTTACAAATTATCATAAATTTTGCCATAAAAGGAAAGACAAGTGGATGGACGGATGGATCGGAAAAAATCACAAACATGTATATAAATATATATTTGAGCATATGGTTGAATTGTTGGTTGGTTGATTATAGCGGAAAAGTACAATAGATTACATAATAGCACATATGACGTTTTATTATTATTGCGGAATTACAAAAAATGGACGGCAATTTTGAAGTGAAATATTTCGAAATTTCTATTTGTAGAAGTACCATAGAAGGTTTTTCAGAAATGGAAAACATTTTTTTTGAAGAACTCAATACAATCGTAAATTCAACATTTACACACGAGTGTACATTTCGGGCAAATTTAGAGTCGTCTGTGTACCATGGGACAAATTACGGAAATAGAGTTCGTCCTTGGGCCAAATAAATGAGCTGTGACAAATTTCATCCAATTTCATCGAATCAAAAATTCGACCTGTACTTTGTTAACAATTTAACATTGAGAGACACAGACGGACGGGCATGCATAAATCGACTCAGAAAGTGATTCTATGCATATTCTCAAAAGGAACCATGTGTCTATCTCTTGAAAAATTAAATTCCCATTTGAAAAATATACTTAAAATCTTAATGTCCCTCCTATGTACAAAATACTTAACAATGTTGTCAAGAAATTCTAAAAAAAAAAACAACAACAATTCACAACGTGTCATACCAACAATCAAGACCAAATACGTAGTCTCTATGGACGTCTCACAGGCATTAAGAATTTATGTTGGTGTTTAAGAAGTTCCAACGACGACGAGGTAGTCCACCAAGCAACCAC